GCCGGTCTAAGTTACCCCAAGAGCTGGGGTAACAAAGACCATCACTTTTTTTGAAATTACATAAAGACTATGAGAGGCAGGAGCCAGCAATTTATGGTGAGTGAAGCTAGAGTATAGACCTGTATTTTGCATGTTTCAATTCAAGTTTACTTTAGCTAGTGAAAAAATGGCATCATTTATAAAAAAAGTGGTCTAAGTTACCCCATTTTACGGTATTTATTTTAACATAATAATAGATACAGCTCCAATAGTTTGAACATTATAGGAAAATGCCAATTAAATGGTTGTTGAAATTAAAATTTGAGGTCATACTAAGTGAGAACATTTTTTGAAAATTTCAAATTTAAAGAGAATTTAGTGCTCCTGAAGGTATTGTTTTGGATTTTGGGTGGTTTGAATGTGTTTAATATAATGAGTGTTTATGTCTCAATGTCAGACAGAAAAGTTTCTTCACAAAGAATTTGCTCAATATTGGGTCTGACTTGACTGACTTTGTGCATCAATGCAAACAATAACATGCTTCACTTGGCACAGTAATTTTTGTACTTTAGATAAGATAAAACTGCAGCATTTAAAATTTCATTTTATAAAAACGTTCTACTGCCACCAATAAATTTCACTATTTTTCAGGCAGAGAAGCTGATTGAGTTGATTTTGGAGCTTCAAGATGAGCAACAGCTGCAGAAGCCAGAATCATGTGTTGAATCCAAGTCTGCAAGCACAACACATATACCTGCTAGTTCAACAATGCCCTTCAATCATGGTTCATCAAACAGAAAGGACAAGACAGAATGCATTGTTGCTGATAGCAGTACAGATGATTCTATCTTGGATGTTGATGAAATGTTAGCAGGTGGTGATCTGAAGCTGTCAGCTGGCAAGGTGAGTTTTTGTCATCATGTGTTGATGAGTGTGATAAACCATGCCTTGATGTTGATGGCCTTACAAGTATTTATTCACCAAATTACCTATTTTATTTCCTATTTACCTATTACCTCTTGATACCTATTTCCCCAAATTTATTTACCCACTAATGCCAATCTTAATAAATATAGTTGCTAGAACAGTTTAAGTGAATTAGTTGTACAGAGTTGTTTGAACATGCATACTTGGTGTAGTAATTGGGCATATTTATTGAGAAACTAGTTGTCAACTTTATGCAGGCTAATAAATTGTTAATATACTCTTTGAAGTTAATTAAGGGTGGTCCATTTTCAGCGCAGAAAATGGATTGTGAATAAAACGCATAGTAAGTATGAAATCATTATTTATTACTACTTTTTTAATTGTTAGTACTATGGTTCATGTCAATTATGTGTGAAATACAATATTGGCTAAATGTTTGCCACAGCTTTGGTAGCACATCTTCATCTGATGGTCACAATTTTAGACGACGCTGCGGCATAAAATTCATCATTCACTGTTGCCATTTCAAACCACCAATCGGTCCATTCAGGACTCCTTAAATGGTCTGTAGGCTTCAGTTCTTGGGTCAATTGAACCTTGCAAGCATGCAAATTCAGGTCTTTATGCAAAATACGGATCAGCAAGGAGCATGATGCGTGCAATTGTTGAGCGCAATGACGAGTCAATTTGGATGCTGTTTGCAATGGTGTGGCTCTTCTGCCACACCATCGCAAACAGCAGTAATGTTTTCTGCATAACGAATTTTATGAGCATGCACAGGTGTTTTCACATCCCCTGCAGACCCAGTTTGTTCAAATTTGAGAATAAGACGCCTGATTGTGGTTTTGCTGGGCTATTATGCTGACCAAAATATTCACGAAGTGCTCTAAATGTATTTTAAGTTGACCGCACATTTAAATAAAACATTTGAACCACTCTAATGCGCTGCTCAATCGTGTACCTATCCATGCTTGAATTTGCCAATGACAGATTGATCGAAATGTCCCTGTAAAAAAAGAAAGAAGATGAAAATTAGCTATGGTTCATGAATAACTTTCTGCACTCTGTTTGGACCACCCTTTACATATATTTTTTGATTTGCTGCAAGTTCCGTAATTATCATCATTGCTCTCACATTTTGGCATGTAGGAACATCTTTATCATCACATTCCCTGCACATAGATTCATGATGCGTAGCAAAATTTTGGATATTTTCATGCGTAATTTCCAATTTGACGATGGTGGTTGTCTAAAAATCAATGTTACATTTGACAGGTGGAGCCCAGGACAGATGAGAGGAATGAAAGTGGAGGTAAATCAGGAGATTCATCACAATACATATTTTCATCCAAGGATTATTTTACTGACATTTCCTGTTAGTAAAAAATGCATGTTACCAGAATTTGTTAAATATGAAGTAAATTTCCATTGGTTATGTCCATTTCTGACATAAAAATTTGTTAGTTGGCAATTTTCTCACCCTAAATCTTGCCATTATAAATGCTATTTTTTATCTGATAAACACACTCAGTTGCTCTTGATTTCATTTATGTAATTTACTGTCTTTTAATTGCTCATTTCATGTTTTAAAATGTTTATTCTGATTATTACCTCTTAATTCTGTTTACCTGTTTTTTCTCTAGATAATCAAGAGTCAAATGCGACTAGTGCAAAGGAGCAGCACCTGGACTCGGGCAAGCAAAAGATGATGCAGCTGCTGAAGCCTCCCAAGCGGGGAGTGGCAGGGAAGAGGAGGAAATCTGAGGCCCCTCCTCAGCCCCTACTTGAGAGCCCCAACATGAAAAAGAGAAAGGTTTGTAACGAGAAAGCATGCTTCTTGAATGTAAGCTTTGATTTATATAGTGCAGTTAGAGAATGATCATAATATCCATTGTTAAATTGTTTGTTTTCTTGCATGCATGGTACTGTTATCTTTCTTTGTGAGAACTTTATAAGATAAGATGGGTTCACAGTTCTTAGCTAGGTTAGGGATACACCAAAATACTGAAGTGAAATTTGCTTTTCCAGCAGAGACAGGTCACTCACTCATCACTATGCATCGAAAAATGTACCTATTTATAAGTTTTATTTCAATAATTCAATATTTGGCAAATTTATTTGGCATCATATACTTGTATACATACTAGTCTAAATTATACTGGGTTATTCTAAATCATAGACCCATTTTAATGTATTTGTATTTATTTAAGTTTCAATTCGAAATAAATAATTTGTACGCCAATGGAAAGAAAAAAAAAAAAAAGATTAGAAGCTTTTTTCACATATTTATAAATGTTCAACACGTCCCCCTTGTGCTGCACGGCAGATATCTAAACGGTAGCCAAATTCGTCTTACACACGAGAAAGCATATCTTCTGTTACTGAGTGCACCGTAGCAGTGATACGGTTCTTCAAATCAACCAGAGTTGCTGGTGGAGGCGGGACGTAAACAGAGTTGCTGGTAAAGGCGGGACGTAAACAGAGTTGCTGGTAGAGGCGGGATGTAAACAGAGTTGTTGGTAGAGGCGAGACGTAACAGCTTCCTTAACGTAACCCCATAAGAAATAGTCACATGAGGTGAGATCAGGTGATCTTGGTGGTCAGGAGTGTAGAGCCAGGATTTTTTTTCCTATCCTACTCAACGCTCAGGAAGTGACTGATTAGAAAAGTTTCGATTCAAAAAGTTAGCTGCCGCCCAATTCCGTCTTTGAATAGGTTAAAAAAACTTGAATCGTTCTCTTTCCATTGGTGCATAAATTATTAATTTCAAATTTATACTTGAATAAGTAGGAATTTAATAAATTGGGTCCATTATTTAAAATAGCTGTGTAAAAATAAAATATTGTACTGTGTGATAAGAACTCTTATTATAGTGCATCACCAATGAAACCAGATGGTGTGTGCATCACTTCATTTACATTACTAGTGAGACTATTGGCATCACTTCACGTACTACCGAAGTACATTAATTTTTAACCAAGTAAAGAGCAGCAATGTTAGGAACTCCCCTAACAGCATTAAAGTTGAAAATGTCCACTTCACTTACTAGCACCGAAAATTTAGTTGAATAGAATAGGTCAGTCATTATCTGAAAAACAACATGCAAATTACGAGAAATAGGCAACAGTAAGAAGATAAATTCCCATCTCCTCTTGCTAAAATCTTGAATGCCATTATAATGATCTTCAAGATAGAAGAATTCAACTGACTGTTAAATAGATTTGAAGCCTTTTTTCTTGGCTTATTTTCTTCGCCAAAATTTGGACCTTTTATATTTATCAACATGTCTGCATGCACCACAATTTCTTCATACAAAGAGTTGTAACTCATTTTATTATTGTTTTATTACTGAGTGCAGACTCGCAGGAGTGCTGTGCTTGAGAACAAAAAGATGGCAACCATCTCACGCAGCCACCACAATGTTTGCAACCAGGGTCCAGTGGAGGCACCAGTGGAATGTGGTCACTCCATGTTGCTCCCTTGCTTGACGGAGCTGCAAGAGGAAGTCCAGGGCAAAGCTGATATATATGCCGTTGAACCTGTGTCAGTGGGTCCATCTGAACCCGATGCCTCTGATATCAAGACTCAAGAAAGCTCAAGTGAATCAATAAGCAATTTACCTAGCAAGCCAACCTCTTCCACTACATTAGTTGATGAAGTGAATTTGAAGCGCACCCGTTCTAGAAAATTAGTTCAGAATTCGACTACAACTACCAAAATATTGTCTTCCACGCCTGGTAAGTCTAATGTTGCACCCCGCGCTACTCGGTCATCTCTTAGTTCCAGCCTTCAAACGGTTAACGATGCAAGTCCTCGTGCCAATACTCCTGAATCAAAGGGGACCAAGTCCTATAATTTGAAGTCAGGTGCAACACTGGATGCTATCGTTGGAACTTCTGAAGTTACTGGGAGGCTCAGCTCTGATGATGGATCTCACAAGACAACAGAAACTAAACTTTTGATGAAAAAAGTTGTTACAACACCCAAGAGGTCTAGATCATCTAGATTGAGTTTTTCTAAGGTCTCAACAGTTCCAGATCTATCTACTAAAAACTCGTGCTCCGCTGGAAGCTCTGACGCTGAATTAGAAGTAAATGAGTCAAGTTGCTCAGGATCTTCGTCCACTACGTTCCACTCCTCTAAAACCACTCTTTCAACTTCAGATTCATTTGCTATAAAGTCAGACCCTGAAGTACATGGAGCAAGTGGAACTTCTGAAGTTACTGAATCAGATGCAGTCGATAGCACTACAGAAGAAACTGGAGCCACAAAAGCCCCTAGCAATGCTGCTCTCCGTGCGTCCAGATTCGAATCGACCCAAGCCCGGCGTCTGTCTGAGGCAAGACGCTTGTCGTCTCCTCGTGTCGCGCGGGTTGAGCCCACTTTTGCCAAGCCTGTCTTTGCCATTGGTCGAACTCTTGCTAAAGGCCCTGAAAATGCACCCCAACATAATGGTTAGTTGGAGCTTCTTTGCATGTGGTTTACTTTCTTTTTAAGAACTCTTTACCACCGCCTGTTTTGTTGAGAATTCACGAAAAAGTTTCGTGTAACAATTTTACCAAATTGTGTTTGTAGTTTTTCAACTAGAATCAAGTTGTGGCGCTAGGTAGTTGTCTGGAACATTCTTCATTGTCAAGATTATTTCATTATAGAGGATATCTGTGGCCTTCGAACTTTGAGGTAGTTAACTTCTCATATTCAAAGACATTAATAACGGAATGCGCTCCCTAACCGTCCAACTATTTGTTATGTGTCTTTATATTTGGATAAAGTAAGCATAACGTTGCTAAGATGTGGCCTTTTTTTAATGCTAGCTATACTTGCTGTGAATAAACAATTTTTCTGGCAGACGGCAACAAGAGCAGCGCCATCCCTCGCTTCATGGCCTATGCTCAGAAGGTCACCAAAATGCCTAATTTCAAACGCATCCACGAGAAGGCTTTCAGCAGCATGCAGACCATTGACGATTTTGTGGCGAAGAAGAAGAAACTGGGCGACTCCGTGTCTAAAGTTAGCAAGTTATTTTTTCTCTGGAGATTTATTATTAATATTGGCTACTACTAATTATTGAATGTTTTGCTATTTAAAGTTGGAGAATTTTTTGTTCGAAAAAATAAATAGCTGTCAAATTCATATATGTGAACGATAAATTTTTTTCATTTTTTTACGACGATAAATTTGTCCATGATTGCTCAAGATAACTTCTGTAGTTTGCTCAGAGTGACCGGTTAAGCTAGGCATAACTGCTACTAGTTATGACTCATGACTTGGTTTAAAAGCATCTAGTAGTCAACTATTTATTTGAATTATTTCATTGTTATGTTGTATTGGAAGGAAATGTATATGATTGCCGTCAACCTGTTTTCCATGGTAGCGAGTGCAAGCGCCTGCGCCGTTTGTGCCGAGCGTCACGGCCGTCAGCCAAGTGAAGCTAAACTTCTCAGGTGAGAGCTACAACAATACTGAAAAATATTTTTTAGAAATCAGGCCTCCCACACTCACCATTCCAACAAAAAGGGAATAATTTTATTAATTAAAAACAGGAAATGGTTCATGTCAATGATCAGGGCCCCGACCTTAACGCCTCTGATGGTGGCCTACACCGACTCCGAGGGTCACTGAGCTGTGACGCGAGCGAGGAGCGGGCCCACGTCGAACTTTTCTCAAATATATCTCAAGAACGGTCGATGCCACAGGCCTTTCTGTTCACTGCAATCCAGTTTTGGTTTTTCGGTTTATCTTTGTATTTTCTCAAGGTTAATTTAAGAAACAATTCTGATAAGTTTGCAAGCGAGTGATGATCCTGTTGTTATCATTGTGCAACGGCGTCGATTTACTGTCTCAATTCATAGTAATTCACTGGAAATCGTAAACGATACTCATATGGTGCGGTAGTAACTAAATTACTCAACAAAGTAAATTTCTTCCTTAATTACTTTTATGAAAAAAATAGATTATTACGTGATGAACTCCATGAAAAAATTTAGTTATTACGTGATTACCTCCGTTAACAAATAGTTGGTATTCCTTAAATTTCGCATGCTGGATTGTTGGAGTTACTGAAAAATCCTCCTGGTATGGTGAATGCTTATTCTAGTTATAAATTTATTTTCCAGAGAAACCTCAGGGACCAAACTCGCCAGTGGTCCAGTTCGGTGGATCAGACGAATCTGTCCCTGGAGCCCCGGGCCCTGAAGCTCCTGCTGCGGCAGCGGCTGTTAAAGCCGAGGCTGGTACTGCTAATACTGCGGCCGGCACTGCTGAGGCTGTGGTCGGCACTGCTGAGGCTGCGGTCGGCACTGCTGAGGCTGCGGTCGGCACTACTAAGGCTGCTACTGGGCCTGCTATGGCTGCTGCCGGCGCTGCTGAAGGAGCTCGTCCATCCACTGCTGTAAAATCGTACTCTTCTAGAAGATTGACTTCTCTGAAGGAAAATTTGAAGCCTGGTAAGCCCGAGTGTATCTAGCTAATGCTAATATCAAGCCAAGTGAGCTAGAAAAAGTACTTCCATTTTTGGGCGATACAAGGATAGTATACACATAACACATGCAATTCGATGTTGCTAGTATTTACAATTAAACATTTTATATGAGTGAAGAGTGCTGCAAAATGACTACATTTCTGGTTCGAATGGGTCAACATTAACTACTAGTCCTATTGAGCACTCAGCACATTCATCAGTGGGTCAACCTCAACTAGCCCAATAGATCAGTCGTAATCATGTGTTGTTTCGTCCTCCACCAGCAACAACGCCCCGTGCTTCTGTCCTGCCAACCTGGGGAGCGGGCCCCGGTCGGCGCTCGAGTGCTGTCCCGGTGACACCTGCCAGTCTCCTAAAGGCCGACAACAAACTCTCGTCGGTCAAGAGAAACAAGTCAGCAACTGTCACTAAAAAATATGGTACGAAGGACCGTCAAACTGATAACGTGCACCGGCCTGTCAGTGTCAGCAAGAGCGCTCCATGGGAAAGAAGTCAGAAACCAGACATTAAGACATCTGGAAGGAAGCTCAGCGTCAACAGAACTGTGAGCGCAGACTCAACAAAAGATGACGTCAAGAAACAGGCGGTTGGTGCCAGTAAGCTGCCTCGTTTTCAATTCACTGGTGGAGCGCCAGCGTCACAGAGCATCAAGTTGCTGGCAAGCAAGAACCCTCCTGTTATGTCAAGGTAATCCATTGACGCAGGCACATAGCCTCTTTAATTTATAGTCCTAGTTCTAGATTGTATATTCAATTCTTCTTATCTAGCATTGAACATTGAGTGTGTGAAAACTTCCAAGTGAAGCATTTTTATGTTGTTGCCTTTTTGTTTTTAATTGTGTGTAAATGAACCAGAAAATTATTGAATTTGACTATCATTGCTTATTTCACTTGTATGAACTGATTTTAAGGTCAATTTCAATATGTGTTTGAGGAGTATCTGCAGTACATCGCTTGTCATTAAATATGGAAGTGATATGCCCAGAACGTATGTAAACGACTGGTAATGCGTACTTCTCATGACAATGATAAACGAAGTAAATATTGTGACGTGCAGGGCGGACAGACGTGCCAAGGACCAGGAGTTCATAAAAGGCGTGCGCACCAACAAGCGCTTCCGCCTGCAGATGGAGCGTCGGGGCATTGACATTTGAGGCGTTGCATTCCTGCTTTGAAGAAAGCCTGCACTGCTTACAGGGCTTGTATCTTGTCTACGATACTTGGCTGTCCTCAGTTTATTTCTTCTCGCTTCAAAATTGCCAGCTCACGAATGTCACTAATTTCTCCAAAACATTACCATTTCACAGTTGCTATTGTATTCTCTGAAACTAACTTATTTAGGTAACTTCAGAACAAGGAAACGCCACCAATGAACTGCGTCTTTTAAATATGTTTTTCATTATTACAAATTGATTTGTTTCCCGTTTCATATATTATCGCCTACATGGTGGAATTCATGCTTAGCTTACGATTCACTGATATTGAAGCCGCTCATTGAAGAGTACCTTGTTAAATTTCGAATCCTGAAATAATCAAAGTGATTGAGTTTGAAAAACTGGTTCCAATATTCTAATGAGAATTGATCGTAAAAGTTTCACCTTATTTCACCCATGTGTTCTGTTCGCTCCATCTTGAAGATTGTGATCGGAGGAGAATGCGTTTCATCAGTTCAAAACTCGTTCTGCGTGTACTTTTGTTTGCTTCATTTTTTTTTATTGGTAGTGGATTTGAACTGTAATTTTTTTTTTACGCAAACATCTCGTAGTCTTCTTCATTGTGGCAAACAAAATCATTGTTTTCTTCGTAATATCCTGAGTAATCACTGCTAATATACTAATAAAAGTCATCCAATTATATAAAAATGTATTATGACATTCTGACTTTATTGGCCGTTATTTTTTCGTGCTGATTTTGAGGAGTGATGTCTTGGCGCGGTGATAGGTTAACCTTTACTGCAAGGATTTGTTACGTTCGCGCGAAGCATAATATTCGAAGCTCCTTCGCTGTTTTTTTTGCACTTGTTATTATTTGTCTTCTGTTCGTTACTTTAGTGCATGGTAGTTTATATGTTTTATATAATGCACCTAGAAACTTATCTGCTATTAGTTCTGGATCATTACACTTATTGGTGCATGTGTCCTTGACCAAGCTGCATAAGCAGCTGCGTCGACGACAGATCTATTCTAAGATGCACACATGCAAGAATTACGACATATTCTTAAACCTTTCATTTATGCCATCATCGTCAAATGACTTGAAGACTATGAAGAATGAATCAATCTGGTTGCCGATAAAATTTTTGTGCGCATTTCAGGGTTTCAGCTGGTGTTAAATTTGATGATTCACCGTTCAGCAACAGCGCTGTAACTGTCAGCTAAAGAATGGCAACGCGACTGATTCTGACACAAGTCACCGTGCGATGGAAGTATTTTGGACTTAGTCTGTTAAATGCCGTTGTATGAATGGTTCGAGGCGATTTATATTAGTGATGAACACGACTCTAGTAAATTGATATCTTTTGAGGTAGGTAATATCTGGGATGTACAAATTTAATAAAAATAATGAGTCTGTTAAATGCCGTTGTATGAATGGTTCGAGGCGATTTATATTAGTGATGAACACAACTCTAGTAAATTGATGATATCTTTTGAGGTAAATAATATCTGGGAAATACAAATTCAATGAAAATAATGAAGTGTCTCGCAATATATTATTTGTACCGATGTAAGCTCTTATGCATTACTTAACAATAGATTTGCCTGACTAAATTACACTTGACTTTTAAGGTATTACTTGATACTTTATTATAAAGTCGTGGCTGTACCTTTCTAATTCGCTATTTTCTCGCATGAAGAATGTAGCGTTTGAAATAACATGTCTCAATAATGAGAACATTCTATCTGTGTTGAGTTACATGTCCATTACTATCGCTTTGCTTTCAATATACTGGCTACTTACCTCAGTAACCTGGGTTTATTATCCATCAGGTTACACAGCAGGTTATTCTGCGCCTTTGCGTTGTCGTTATGTCTTGTTTATTTCATTCTACTGCTTAAGATATGGTTCAAGATATTACCGACCGAGTCAAGGAGCCATCGTTTTCCAACAGTTAGTTAACTCGGTATTTGGAATTGTTTCAATACGAGGTGGTGGAAGCAGCGATTATGTTCTAATGGCGCTTCGACCAAGCGTTGCAGCGCTTCAACCCAAGCGTTGGTACGTTGTAAGCACGCACATATGAAGGAAACGAGTAATTCTTGAGAAGTTATTGCACAGATCAGTCAACAGAATTTGAAGGGTATGAATGTATTCAACGAATGATTAACACGTTGGAGTGCGGCACGACCCACAGGTGGCTTGAATGGTATTTTTCCCCGAGAAATTCCGCGATTTAGTTTTTCAATTGCGATGGCTAACAAAAATTTATGATGTCTATCCTTTCTTATTACATTATAAAAGTGCGGAAGAAAAGAAAAATTAAATTTGTGCACCGGAGACAACAAATTTACCAGTATATTTCGAATTATTGGCATATTTTTGTCAGTCGTTTTTAGGCCACATGGAAGCCCTATTAGGCCAACGTGTTAAATTAAGACAAGATCTGCACGAGGGCCGCGTAAAAATCCGATGCGTTTAGCAGGTAAGTCTTCGCCGTGCTTGAAAGATCAAGTGAACAAAGTAAGCAACTCAGGAACTGATGTCGAATAGCAACTAGGGAGTTGAATCCATATTAATAATCTTGACTCTCTACTGACTCGAATTCAAAATTCAAACGCGAACAATTCTCTTGAATGTCATAATTATATTTATCAATTCTATAGCTCATTGAACACCATTTATTTTCTAATTATATGTAACCTTGTTAGCTAATATTCATCTAATTACCTCATTGTTTACTATTATGCAATTCTAAAATAATAAATAAGAAATTTTATAATTTTTTACGCATGAACAATATTAGTGTAATTTCTGAATAATAAAAATTCTGTAAACGTCATAAATACTTTGAGGTTCTAATAGGGTAATTAATTAAAACTTGCGATTTCTGTTTAGAGTGCGCCAGCGGGCAACATTATGATTAGCCAGTCGTGCCAATAATGCCTTAGCATGAAGTAGTACACATTGACCCTATGTCCTCCCCTGGCTCCCCCTAGGAAATTACTGCACACTCAGGCAACTGCTGCACACCCAAGCAGGTACTGCACACTCAGGCAGTTACTCGACACCCAGGAGACTATTGCATACCTTAGTACCATGACAGTCACTGCACACCCATGGCAGTTACAGCACACCAACAATGTCAGTTACTGCACACCAATGTCAGTTACTGCACACTAATGACAGTTACTGCACACTAATGTCATTTACTGCACACCCGTGGCAGTCACTGCTCACTCATGCAGTTTCTGGACCGCAAGACAAGGCAATCACTGCACATCCATGGCAAGCTCTGACAAAAAATTTCCTGCGCTACAGGGCTCGCATTTTTCACATTAAAAGAACAGTTAACTGTAGGGGCTTATTTGTTACTGTTACCTGCTACCCTGCATTCAAACTGCGCAATTAGAGTTCATTTATTCCTTACACTTCGTCACTGAGTGACATGAACAATTTCCGCGTTTGTTCAATCCTTGTTTGTAGTCAGGTGAAAATTCCGTTTTCTATAAATGAAGAATGATGTTTTCTTTCTGGGGTGTCTATGGAGATGCATGCATGATCAACATAAAACTTATATTCTAGGGTACAATGTACAATTATTCCACTCTCAGGTATGTGGGCTGTGGCAATAAAAAATCTATGAAAAATGCCACATACACGTCTATTTCTATTTACTATATTACCTTTCTGTTATCTATTCTTATCTTGGAATAGAAAACTGATCCGTTGCTTATGTAATCTTGGTCATTTTGGTAAGATAATTTCTTGGTACCTATATCATTCCCCGACAGGATTGATAATCAAGTAACTCGTCAACTGGATTAACTTCCTATAGTGTGCAGCAGCTGCCTAAGTGTGCAGTAATACAGTAACTGCCAGGTACTGCATTCGTCCAGCGCTGCGCCGTCAATTAGATGGCACCGCCTGAGCGGTCGTCGCCGGGAAGCGCCTGCTGACATATCAAACTCGATAACAAAGTAGCATGCATCCAACTTTTCCTTGAATTCACGGCATTCAGAGCCCACATTTCTCTTCTTTCCTGGTCCCGACATTGTCACCTGAAACACTTCCAAACTTGGGTTCACACTGGCAAGCAGACCAGGACGATAATGTTCTCCTCAATCAAAGGGTCTTGGGTGGTTCATGGCAACATTTGTAAATATTTTATCCATTTTTAGAGACACCAGTCACACCCATTTACTGTTTTTTAGTTCATGCGTAATCAGAAATAAACGCCACGCTCGATTTTTGTACACATTATGTTGATATGCGAGATACCCTCGGCGGGCCGGATGGAACCTAGCCGAGGGCCGGATCCGGCCCGCGGGCCGTAGTTTGGAGACCCCTGTTCTAGGGTACAAATGTACAATGTACGATTATTCCACTCTCAGGTATGTGGCAATAAAAAATATGTGGAAAATGCCACATACACGTCTATTACTATATTCCCTTTCTGTTATTTATTCTTATCTTGGAATCGAAAACTGATCCGTTGCTATGTAATCTTGGTCATTTTGGGAAGATAATTTCTTGGTACCTATATCATTCCCCGACAGGATTGATAATCAAGTAACTCGTCAACTGGATTAACTTTCTATAGTGTGCAGCAGCTGCATGGGTCACCCATGCAGCTGCTGGGTGTCCCCATGCAGCTGGGGTGCAGTAATACAGTAGCTGCCAGGTACTGAATTCGTCCAGCGCTGCGCCGTCAATTAGATGGCACCGCCTGAGCGGTCGTCGCCGGGACGCGCCTGCTGACGCTGACTTGTTGAGCGCCTCACGCTTAACAACTGCCTCCCCTTGCCTCTCACCACCTCCCCCCGCCTCTCATTGCCTCCTCGTGGATACCCCTGCCTGCTACTGCCTCTTCTTGATCTACTTCCTGCCTCCCTCTAACTTCCTTTGCTTTTCCCTGCCTCCTTTTAACTCAAACTGCCACCGTCAGCCTTTCGTGCCTCCTCCAAACTCAGCCTTTCCTGCCTTTTCCTTCTGCCTCCCTTTGCGTCCTTAAACCCTAAACTGTCTCATTCTGCACTCCCTCCTCCTCTCCTCTCCTCCCTCCCCCAGCCTACTACAACCTACTCCTGACTCCCCGCACTGCTCCAACCTACGTCTGTCCTCTCACAATATTTGCCGCTCACCTCGTACCGCCCTCACCGGCCTCTTCTGCTCACTTCTGCCTCCACGTCTTTAACTCCACGGATAATACTGCCAAGATTTAAGTTACTGGCGTCCGAAAATCTGCTGCAATGGTAGATTTTAGAAATCATGTTTAAGGTAACACTAAAGTTTATCAAAGGCTTATTAATACGCATTTTCATGTCGAGATATCATGTTTAAAAAGCACCGCAACTGCTGGCTGATGAGATCACACGACTAAAATTTTCTTCGCCTATGTTTCGAAATGGAAATGCTATTAATTATTGAATGCTGAAAAGTACATTTAGTGCTGACTAGTAAATTGAGCATTTAAATGATTCTTGGTAATTAAATAATTGGTGCGTTTAAACATTCTTGGCAAACAGTGAATCTAATTCTGTGCTTGGCTCTCTGTCTCTATTTCTTTTGTATCCTGTTTTACATTAACAAATATATTATTTTACTAATATAATAGCTGACTTATTTGCTACAGCAAATTTTCCCATGGTCGTAGTTTGTTTTTAACGTTCACGGGTAATAGAGAGTGAAATTACTTCCGGTAATTCTGATGCAAGTGCGCTCGCTAGCTCGTGAAATGCTGGGTAATTTTCTCTCTATTGCGGACAAAATAAATTCCGTATCAATACAAATTGATACGGTTTTCTAGACTTGGATTTTGGATTCTCCGTATTCTCTCAGTCGAAAGAACATCTTATTTGAATGACGAATAAGTTTTTTATCCGTGTGATTTCTGAATAGAGCATTTTTCATTTCATTTTGATTGTTCAAATGCAAAATAAATTTTGACTATCAACTTGATCATCCATGTATTTTCGTGTGCCAAACAAGTGATGCAGTTTGTCTCCTAAATATTTCGGATGAAATTTTGATTACCTTGGATCTTCTATTTCGAAATTTCGATTTTACAAATTAAATAAATTACGCAAGGTAGAAAGTTGAAGGTAATTTGCATATGAATTGTTTGAAGATGATTTGCAGCTAAAATGCTTGTTTGCCATGATTTTCAATGATGGTTGAATGTAATATGAATTTGAGTAAATTGTTTTGTCATGGTTGATGGTAATCAGCAGCGGTAATTATTGTTCACAATGGTTGAAGGTAATCAGCAGCAGTAATTATTGTTCACAATGGTTGAAGGTAATCAGCAGCAGTAATTATTGTTCACAATGGTTGAAGGTAATTAGCTGAGCAAACATTTCCTGTTCAGCGCTGCCTGAGGGCCTGAGGTCGCGTGCGCGGCGGCCATGAGGCGCGTGACGTACGGGACTCGCCGGGCTTACCGACCCCCGCTGATGGACGGTCATAGGGCGGCCTGGTGGTCTGATGGACGGTCATAGGGCGGCCTGGTGGTCTGATGGACGGTCATAGGGCGGCCTGGTGGTCTACTGATGCTGCGACGCCTGATGCTGCGACGCCTGATGGTCCTTGTCCAAATTCCAAGTTGAATGAACTTTCGTGAGTTGAGAGGATCTTGTAAGTCTGAATGGGGTTCTCAAATTTAGTATCTCGACTTGTAATTAGTATATTGCGTATAAAGCAATATTCAAAGTTGAAAATGCATTACAATCATTTATGATTTTTTCTAAATCTGCAGTTCTTTATGTCTGTGGCGTACCATCTTCCGTCCTGCCAGTTACAGCTGCT